CTGCCGGGGGGTGCCGCTGCCCGGTCGGGCGAGGGATGGGGAGCGGGGGTGGGAGCTTTCTGCAGGTAAAGATGGGGTGGGGTATGGCTTCGGTGGCCGGGGGAGGGGGGAAGGCACTGCTTTGCTCTCGCCTCCCCCTCGCATCAGGGAGCGTGTGCTGCGGTTTATCCCAGCTGTAACGATGCGCTAGAACAGCGTGACAGGGACCACTCGTATGTGATAGTTGGATTTGTGTGGGTCGTGGTTGTTGTGGTTTGTTTGGTTGGTTTTTTTCCCCCTTATTGTACGAGTGTGAGTAATTCACTTGGTAGTGTAATCCTGAGAAATGTTAATGCATTTGTAATCTTCTGCCTTTTTAGCTTTTACTCGGTCTGCATTTGTTGCAAAAAAACCTAATTATGACCAACCAAACTGGCTTGGAGTTGGCTTGGCTTTCAGCACCAGCGCTGCCTTGTGGGCTCTTGTAAGTCTTTTCGTTTGGTTTTGTTGAACTTAACTATTCTCAAACCCTGACTGCAACCTACTTGGTTGACTGGGGTAATGGATGGTCATAGGAGGTGTCAAGATTGAAGCATGGTATGTTGGTTAGTTATGTTTTCCCAAATCTATGTTGTGCTTTTCTTTATAAAAATGAATGACTTACTAAGCTTCTCTCTGTTGCAAGCTCAAACCGGCCACAACAGAAGAATAATTCCTCAGGCCTGTTGGTTTAAGGCTTTAACATTCTTTACCCCAGTCAATCTTATAAGAAAAAGAAAAAGGGAGAAGACCTAGGGATGTGCCTAAATAATGTTGTGTTTATCAGACTACCAATACATTCTCTTCTCATTTTTCAGCTGTAGTTAATTGATTAAGACCCCCTTTTCCTGAGCAAATGCAGGTGTAAGGTGTTCCCTGGTCCGGAGAACTTGCAGGCTCAATTAAGCAAGCAGGGTGCAGTAGCTCTCATGGAGAAATGTGCAGGATAAGCAGCACTCCCGTGATGGCAATGCTTTTTATTCAGGGTGGGGTGGGTTCCCTTTGGGGTTTTCCCCATTTTTGGGTGTGGTGGTGGATTGATTGATTGGTAGGAGCTTCCCCACCTCAATCGGCCAGCGGAAAATGTTTGAGAAAGGTATGAAAAAATGCCTCACTGGACAATTCATAGTTTATTGTCCCAGTTATGTATTGGTTTGCATTCTGATAACAGGAATTTTGTATTCTGTAGAAATCTCTGTTCTCTGGTTGCAGCTGTGCCTTGCATAGTGGTTTATCATACACTGCTATCTTACAGCTTGTCAAGCAGCATAATGAAGATGTAATGGAGTACGAAAGAAGAAAAGAAGAGCGACAACATAAGTGTACAGGATGTTCATAGTAAGTATGCACACAGAGATGCCTTTGACTTGGCTGAACACCAATTCTGCAGACCTCTGACTTCCGTTAGCGATCAGGATATCGCACTGGCTTACCTTCTTGCTTTATTACTTTCCGTAATACTTCCTGGCTTTCGCTATTCTTGTAACTCATTCCCAGTTTTAAGTGATAAGGTGACTGATTTATTTTTTCATATATTCATTTGCGTGCATATTCACTGCCAGCTTCCTGTCTTGGGCATGCAAACTTTTGGAAAATAACACATCCCTCACAGTGTCTGTGATAAATTTAGGTTGCAAGGGGAATACCTCACAAGTGCTTTAGTGGCAAGGAGATCAAGGTTACTAAAAATAGCTTACCTTTGCCTTTTTTTTATTTTAGCAGGCCTACAATGGGAAGCATTTTTCTCAGTTTCACTCATATTACACATGAGATAAAGTCACTGCCCATGGACCTGCGTTGTAGTGACAATTGTATGTGGTCGTTGTCCATGTCAATGTAAAAAGCATAATTGTGTTCCTGCCAGCTAAAAATTCTATTGGGGTTATGGCCTCAGAGCAAATTAGCAATCCTTTCATGTTGCCTACTAGGTATAGAAAAACTTGTAGTGCTGTGGTTATTTTTCCCATAAATATTTCTTTTCAGCTAAAAATACAGTCCGTTGTGAGCTGTTCCTAACCATATTCATCGCATCTGTTTTCCTTGTTGGTGAGACTTTTTTTTTTCTCCTCTTTCTCAGGTTGACAGTATACTCGGTAAGAAGTAACCTGATCACCAGGTGACCTACAAATAAATGAGCACAGCAGAAATACAAAGTGTTTAAATACTTACATGTTCATACATTTCATGTGCAGATCTATGAAATAAATTGTAAAGTCTGGAAGAAACTTGTGAAGGCTTTTCTTGCTGTTTATGTTTCATTCTACTGATCTTGAAGTTGTTTTATGTGGCATTTCTGTTTCACCATTTATCAATGTTGTTCTCAAAACCCTCTATATTATTTTGGAAGATATATTACAAAATCAGATATAAGTTCAGAGAAGGCTCAGCAAATATTCCAGAAGTCGTGTGCTCTTGCCCTGCCACCATTTTCATTGCTGAATTTACAAAATAAGTGATAAGCAAATACGAGAATGACATTTATGGAAAACCTAAAAAACCTAATCTGTACAAATGCCGAAACATGCATTTGCTACCTCGCACATCAAAGAAGAAACCTTCAACTCAGTCTTGACTGGGTAGACTTTAGAAGTTTGACCTTGTTACTTAAAATGCCATAATTAAAGTTGCATGTGTTTGCAAGCTTGATCTAGTTCCTTGAGTGCTGTTGTTCTCCGTTCCTTTGTGCTCTGAATTCATTTTTATTTTTCTTCCCCTCCTTTCCCCACCTCAAGCAGAAGTGAAGCTTTATCAGTGACAACAAAAATCAGAGGTGGCCAAACCTTCTAAGTTCTGTGTGGGTCTCTTATTTTTCCTTGCTTTGCTTTTGCTGCTGCATGCAAAGGTGAAATGTATTCTGTATTTTCAGAAAGCAAGGACGAAAGGTCACTCTTGAATCTCGGAGACTGACTGACCTGCAGCTCGTTTGTCTGTCCGTTATATGGGTTCTCTTGGGCATGGCTGCTTTTCTGTCTTGCAGCTCTGTGAGGCTTGTTGGGGGTGCAGCCAGACCCTGGTGCTCCCCAAGGATCTGTTCCTTGAAGGTGCGGTGGTTGGCAGCTGAGGGGACAGTGCCAGTTCTGTGGTGTTTGTTTGGAGCGGTCAAGGGGGAGTGTGTGCTGTGCCTTGCCCAGGGCCTGTGTGGCCGTCGCAGAGGAGAGGTTGGCCTTAACCCCAGTCTGCATTTTTGGAATTGCTTGCTGCCCAAAAAGTGCCTGCGACCCCAGCGGTGAGACTGCACAGCCAGTGTCGGTCTCTAATGTGAGCTCTGCCTTCTCTTTGTGCACCAAGGTCAGCCAAGGGCAGAAACACGGGATTGTGACAATCAGCAGAATATAGCACTGAATAATGACTGAGGGAGCATTGACGCTATGTATAGAGAAGGGAAAAGTAATGGGGCAACCATCGAACGATGCAGGGAGGGAAGGACAGCGGCACAGCTCCCACCCCCAGACAGTCATCCCACAGCAGTGATTTGCTCCCTCAAGCATTTTGCTACCGCTGCTGAGCTCCCTGTCCTGGTGTTTCACCCCAGCGCCCTTGGCTGTAGATTGCCTTGGTTCCTCCAGATCTCTTTCCCAGGGATTGCTGGCGAAGAAACTTTCTGTTTCAGCGAAACAAATAATGTTCCTTGCCATATCCCCCACCCCTTGGTAAAGGCAATCCCCGGTATCTCTCCTCGCGTTCTGGAGCTTTGGGGTTTTTGGTGGTGCCTGCTATGGCCGGGCGGGCGGCTGTAGGCGGGCTCCCGGCTGACGCCGCAGCGGCGGTACCGGCTATGGCAGCGCGCGGCCCTGTGACCCCG